CATAAAACTCAAGAACCCATTTAGGTCCATCAACATGTATTTTATGGTACAGTGGGTTAAAATTATTTCAACTGCGTGCAATGTTGAAAATCTCCAAGGAGGTGAAAAAAAGAATTACTGAAATATTTTGAAACATCTCCAGGACCACAGATTAAGACCCATGACTGTGTCCATATCCTGCCTGCTTACGGAATTCTAGATATTGTATTAAATGAGGCAATAAACAAGTTTGCAGTACCTGAAATACCACGTGTCTCTTATTACAGCACAAGATCTGGTAAAATACAGCTTAACCCTGAACTCCATTTTAACAAAATAAAATAAAATCACCCTTAATTCCCAGCAGGGCTGTGCAGCACTAAAAACGACAAACACAGACAGATGAAGACTGTGCATCACCGGTCTGATGTAAGACGTGCTCCCGAATTGGCAGCCCGTGGTGAAATCGCAGATAAGTAGGCCAGCACATCCGATGCCGGTGAGGAGGCGACGCTGAGATCACTGACGCTTAAAGGATGCATTCCCGACATGACAGAGCCGAAAAAAGGAGAGCACGCAGAAGTTAAACAAACCCCCCCGCCCTGCCCCCGTCACTCCCACCTCCAGCAGGCCAAAGCCAAACTCAGATGAATCCGACAGCTTTTCATCAGCTACATGAAAAGGAAGAGGAATGACAAATTTCACACTCAAAAATTTTAATGAATTGGGTGACCCTCAACTTGCAACAGCTAACCTGAAACACCACATTTGACCCTGTACACGAACATCTACTATCTACTATAATATCTATCAGAAAGAACACAAAGCTTACAAAGGGCTACAAAGGGAGTTCTGACAGTATCTTTTACTTCATGGATCCACTTCTTCGCCTTCAGGCAGTGACAAACAAAACACGTGTGAAAACCTAGAAAACGCGACCCGACGTGGGTCTGCCAATGAGTACGGCTGACAGTATGAGCATGACGGCACATGAGACAGCCTCAGCCTACACGGCGCAGGGAAAATCCAGACAGAGATCAGCTCCTGAACTTCTGAAAGGCCTCTGATATGAGGGGAATCAGCTGGAACACGGCAGTCACTGAAGCAGTTCAATGAAATGTTGAATTTACAAGAACATAATTAGCATGCGGTGACAGAGTGGAGAATGCTTTGGAGACACAGTCACAAAAACGCTAATGAAAGGAATTAATCTGCTTCATTAAGGGCTCAGCTTCCATCACTCAGAGTCTGCACCTCAAACTTAGGCGTGAAACACACTGGCGAATATAGATCTAATCGACAACATCCTTTTAACAGTTAAGAGAGCAAGCAAAAAGCCGCAAAGAAACAAAAACAACCATTGTCAAAAAAAAAAAACACCGTGAAGATCACAGGTCTGATATTCCACACAATCTTCACAAGCAACTGAGAAGCTTCCGCTCTCATGCTGATCTTAAGCAGGTTCCTGACACCTATGAGAACTTGAAAGCAGACACTCCTTTGAATGATTTACTTAGAAAATACACTACCAAGTCGAAGCAAAAAAGAATATAAATTAAATTAAGACACACAGCCTGGTTCTACCTTCCCCCTCAGTGACCGTGGGATTCCCAGTGAAAGATTACATATAAATTTATAAAGATCACATATCGATTTATAAAGATCACATATAGATTCATTATCGTTGAAGAGGATCTAATTGGAAGCACTTTTTAATTAAACCCCCTAATCACAGAGGTTATTAGTTCTCAAGAGTAAATGCTTAGCTGAGTATCCATCACGTTCTTCCAAAAGTGACAGTGAAAGCAAAACTCACAGGTTTTCAAGTTTGTTTAAAGACATAAGGTTCTCTGGTAGACTACAGGTGTAACGCTGAATACCATGTCATGGTTTGGTCAGAGCGGTACTGGGAAGACGGCTGACAGACACATCCTGTATGAACACGTACTTGGCATGGCGCTGAGCAGCGGCCCAAAGGTCAAACGCGCAATCCGCCACCAGCTGAATCTCTCTGCCATTTAAAAGGAATCATCCGGCTGTGTTTAAAGCCAGTTTGATAAATTATCTATTAATACCAGCTGACATGTCATTTTCATTCATGTTTACAGAGTTCACACTGTCTATAAGCCGTACTCTGAGGCATTATATAGGACCACAATTTCAGCTACACATCTTTCATATTTTTTCCCTCTGCATGGTATGCCATAAACATATTTTAAGTAGGAGTAGGAGTAGGAGCCTGGTTAGAATTTTTTTTTTTAAATCTAAGCTGCGCACCTTTCAGGCACTGGCTCACAATTTTTGTTCTCTCATCTGTTCACAGATTCACGTCACATGTTTTATTAACTAGAGAATTCTGACGGCTTCTGCCTTAAACACACTGAAAAACACGTCAATGAAGATTAATTCGACCCAGCTGGGTCTGTAAGCAGATAAATACAGAAAGCAACTAATTTAATGATAATGAGAATGAGAAAAAACACAACGACCGAATGAAAAGCCATCTTTCTGGGCGCTACAGGTATACAACGTAGTAGAAAGTCAATCAAAGGCAACCTGTGAAAGAAGACGCGTGTGCCTTGTATAGACGCGTCATCCATCTCTCGGGATCCATAATGACCTCGTGCTGCGCGTCCAGATGTTTACCGGGCCCCGCGCGACACCGCTGTGACACAGGACGTCCTATGGTAAAATACGTGCTCACTCTACGTACAGTATGCATAATAATAGCGTCCAGCACCAAATAGCCTTTCACGGTTTCACCATATCGAGCATGGCGTGACCTAGTTAAGTTCTAGTATAAAATACATTACACAGCAGCAAAACATGGGAGATACGCTTCCATTTTTGCTGTACCTTTATTTCCACTTTCAATCAATTAAAATTCATTGCGGTCATTATTTTGGGCATCTAGGCATCACAGAAAGGATTACGCCAACTTCGCACATCTGTGGAGTACTTGGAGGCGCGTCTCAAGCTATCAAGTGAGGAAAAAAGTGTTTATCTCTGTGACAATAGTAGAGCCCCGCTTTGAAGCAACAGGTCACGTTCTGCTACAAATATAAACAGTGCGACTGGTTTTCTGTCGAGTATTTATTAACTGCAATTTTAATATTTGTATGCTATATCGGCTTGAAACGAATTATTCTGCTTAGGAGGAGGTGGGAGACCAGCTGATTCTATAAATGATTATATATGTATTCTAAAAAGGAACACTAGCAATTTTCAGCTTACTCTGAAAACGCGTAAAGAAACGCAGTGATGCATGAAAATGGTAGGTGTTCACAATGGTATTCCAAGCCTGTAGATTACACATAGGAGAACAACCGCACAGGAGACGTAAAGATGCTAAAGTCTAATTGCATGCCAATTAATTAATTAATTACAATTTATGAATCTGTTATTTGTGAATAAGTGTTACAATCTCACACACATAGTTTAGAGAACAAAGGAAGATTGTAAGGCCTTTAAGTCGCCAGCATACACACAGAGTATCCCCGCTAATATAATTACCCCGCTGAACTGTCCCTGATACTGCACCGGGACCTTTAAGACTGACTTATGTAGGTCTAATAGCGTGCGACGGTTTACAATATTCATTTGCACTTCATTAAATGTATTTCCCGTTCATATTTTTACACAAATAGCCTTGTTTTTCATCTAAATTCTAAATATTTTTGAGAATTCACATTTTGTATCATTATAGTGATTACTCACCGTTGTTACTGTTTCTTTGTTATTCAAAAAGACAGTTTAACCATTGTATCGATACAACAGACATGCTTGTTTACAGGTTCCTAAATACCGAAATAGCATTCCACAATAGTATAAAAATGTAGCAAAGTATATGTCCGCATCAGAATAATTAATTAAACCTTTGGTTTAACAAGATGTCACCATATGTAACGTACTGTATAGTAGCACACTTTTATGAATTTGCATAATTTGTATCTTGCTTTGCACGTTAATTTTGTTGATGGGGCAGAAAGCAACAGTGGCAGTAAGACGGCAATTGAAATAATCGGTGCATGACTTTGGCATAAGCGTCTAGCCCGCATACCGATATAAATCTTTCATTATTAGACACAGACTTGGAGAAAGAGTATTGTTAAAATGGGACTCCTGGCAAAATGGAACAGTTAAACTTTGCAGTTAATATATGCCTGTGTGTTTAGAAATACTTCATTTTGTCTTCTACGATACGATGTTCAAGGCGCGTTAATGTATTTAGAATGGTATCAAGTTCGGATTGAAGACATGGAGATTATTCCAAACATTTTTCCAGAAATGTCCAATTTTAACAATACTCGCCCAAGGTGTATTACATATCGTGGCATTCAGAAGCGTTATATGCCCTTTTTGATCTGCACATAAATGCACATTAGGCCTATAAGATGAAAATGAATGGCACCGCATTTTGAAAGTGCTTTTAAAGTAGGTTAAAACTTGTAAATCTGCAGGACTGTGGTCAGTCGAATCATAATTTATGCATCCGCACAGCAGCCTGGAACCTATCAGGGTGAGATCGCGTGCATACCGGCCACAGAGATCGCGTCTCCGCTCTGAACGGAACGCGTTTCGACTGCCCTGGGGGCTCGCACTGTACCTGAATTTCAAACTGTTTACATATATTTATATACGTCCAAACTTAATTGATTATGCAGCATAAAAGATCACAAACACATCGCCCTACCTTCCAGTAACTGGTAAACCACAATAAGAATCAGAGGTGTGTGAAAATGAAATATAAAAAACTATGGATGTTCCACATGCACAAGCCAAAACGGAAGCGTTCTTAAAAAGTTAAATAGTGTAATACACCCACGTTGCGTCCAGCCCTAATGGTGTGTGTCCAGAAAACAACTGTATGGATCAGCTCACAAGTCAGATTCTCCGGTCTTGCTGGTCATTTTTTATTATTAATTGCATAACTAATTTATTGACATTCTTTTTTTTTGGCTGGGCCAGCTTTGGTAAAATACCCGTCTTTGACAGGCGGCAGATGATCTTAGGAAACTTACCTTGCCTCTCGATCCACATTTTGATGTTGACCAGTGTGCCCTTTTGTCCCCACCTGGCACGGGCACATCTTCCACGTCCCCTATCAGTCCGGCTGATGCCGAATCCGAGTCCTCCCCTTCTTCCAAGTCCTCGCCCTCCTCCGCTTCTGCCGTCTTGAACCGTTTGGGTGCTCTCTCATATTCCCCTTCCTCACGCTCCTCGGCCAGAGACATTCTCAAAAATCAGAGATTTGGCCTCAGTCAGTAATGTCCTTTGCACGTAGACCTGACAAGAGCGACTGAGAGAAGTTACGAATGGTTTGGACAGCCCTGCCGAGGCGTCTAAGCGCTGCTCTCAGCGGCGTGCATCAGACGGAGCGGACTGTCACAGGCAGCGCGTCTTTCCAAGCGCACTGACTCCCTTTGTTCACATCGCAAACCTAGACAGCCGGGAGACGCTTCGTTGCTTCCTCATTGGGCCAATCTCTCTCGGTACGCATGAATATCGCTTCTGATTGGGCGAGCTCGTCTCGCAACTTGGAAATACAGACACTGATTGGTTACCATGGTCATCTGTCAAGAAAAAGATAAGCACATTTTAGTCAAAGCAATAAATCACTTTTGTATTAATATATTATTCAGAAAATACAACTCCAAAGTCAGAATACCTTAACCATTAAAAATCAATTTCAGGGAAGAAAATTAGGTTTATTTAACTTTTTAAGAACACTCCCCTGCTTTAAATTTACCGATGTTTTACTGTTCTGAGAGTGCTTTTTCCGTACAGCACCTTACCGGTCTGATCCCAGATAAGTGTTTAAGACGGCGCACCGTTCCATTAGCCTGTTTACCTGTTTATATTAAAATCACGATATAATTCGTTACAGCGGTAAGAATATTTATGGTGTTTGTTATGTAGTGATGGTATTAGGAAATTATTCGTCCCTTCTAGCTGTACTGTTACCAGCTTAGACTAGAACAAAGTGGAAACATCCATTGATACTAACACAACTAACAGCCTACTGTACAAACGTCGCTTTTGTTTTTCTTTAGAGGATAGAAAAACGCATATAGCCTACGCAATCATTGCTGTAGGCTATATGTTACTTGGCAACTTTTTATTCTCGAATAATTACTATACTAACTGACTTAGTATTTAATGATTATTTTGCTGTGACTTTACACAATATGTTTGATCGGCCGCCCACCTGTTTGTCCCCCAAGCGCTTGTCATGCACTTTATGTAGCTTCCCTGTGTGGTCCCACTGTCCTCCGCTGGATTGCACTGGCTTTTTGCTGACTGCATTCTGTTACGACGCTGGAATAAGTGGATATTCCCGGTTATTGCTGGCTTCTATTTATAAAGTTCAACTAAGACTCCATTTCGAGTCGTCATTCCCCCAGTGAGTAACACGCACTAATATGCTAATGGAAGATGCATTTAGAACATATTGTATTTTAAAGCTGACTGATCTCCAGATTCTCCGGTTCCTACTCACTATATTAAGCAAAGTCAATTTTATTAAGTGGCACAACTTAATTAAATCTGATTTTGCAGTGCAGATACCCTATACATATTGATAATGTGTACCATAGTAAGGTTTTGTATACTTTCTAACGAAAACGAATCCGTTGCGGAAATTATGATCAATGGCCACTCAGCGAATAATAGAATTATGTTGTCATTGTTGTAGTATCATATTAAGGTATCTTCTTTCAATGGTAAGCTGGAATATCAAACCAATAGAAGAAAAATAGGAGATGGATTTCCCGCTAATTAAACGCTTGCTTTTGAGTTTAAAACGCAGTTCTTAGAAACTAATTATACATCTTAAAGTATTCCTTTTACCGAAGGAAACCCACTCATGATTACTGAGTACAGATCACTGAGTTACCTGTCAATAGCAGGCTGCAGGTAAATAGCAGTTAATGAAGAGGTTGTGAAATAATAGTGGATGAAAGCTCTATGATTATGAAATAAATGTAGCACCTAGAAGGCACTCTCAACAGTCTCTTTGACCATAAACCACGTGACTCCCCTTAGATGACATGTAACATCCGTTTAAAAAGCGGCGGACCGTGGAAATTGTTCAATTAGAGAAACGTTATCAACTGAAGTCAAATCTCTTTTAAAATATATGTTTTGGCAGGCAAGAAACTGAAGGGGCTGGTTATGTGTTTGTGTTCGCCTGGCAACTGAGACAATCGTTCTATGACTAAATATCTCTGTTCACAAAATAAATAGATAATTCCTTAGTGGCGTTTAAGTAGGATACCCGGAGGAAGCACGGGCAGAATATAAAAAATCTAAATACACATAGCGGGGGATGAGATTTGCACCCCCGGTACCAATTATTATTATATAACAGAAGAAGGCAAATGCAAATATAGCAAATCACTGCTTATTTTAACTCAGGCTACCGCTAACAGCCACTTCTGAAAATGCCAGAGATAAAAAGGGACAGGGAACGTCTTGAGACTTACTATCAGAGCGCAAATGCACTTTCCTTCCATGGATGAGATGATTTTTTTAGAATAAATAATGGAAAGACTTTTCACTCATTCCTATTCACACCTTGTAGAACATTTCCACTTTCTCTGAAAGATGACTAAAACGAAACCGGGACAGGGACCCATAGCAGTAACAACCCCATTAGAAAAACGGGAAGGCGTCCAAAGAGGAACATGGCTCGTGCGGTTCCGCGTTCTATGTTTGAAATTACTAAGGACCAATGAAAATGAGGGCGTCCTCTGGGGGGCAATCGGGCCCATTGGGCGCTACCTACCCAGGACTCTTTTTAAAATTATCATTATTCTACAAAGAGCAAGTTGAGGGGGGCATAAAGACAATTTCAATAAATCAATAAAGTATCGGTTATTATTATTATTATTATTATTATTATTATTATTATTATTATTAGTGAACAATGTTACAACATATCAACAAAGGAACTGCCATGCAATAAATAAAACAGTAACAGAGCCACAGATAAGAGAGAAGAGAAAGAAAAAAAACAATGAAAAACAACCAAATTCTTTCACAGTTTTACTGGTTTTGGCAGCTTTTTTGTTTTTACACTAGACTAAAGTTGCGCCATATATACTGCTTAATTTCATTTTAAAAATGGAAAAAGTTGGCTTTAGATTATTATTTTTTTCTTATGAATGTGGAATTTTCCGTATGCAATAACTAACTGAATCACATAAATAATGTTTGCTTTTAACCCCTCATTTTTAAAATAAATAAATTAGATACCTGTGTAGGTTGGCTGATACCAGCCATGCTGAGCTGAGTGTTTCCCAACCTGGTCCTCGGGAACCCCTGGACTGTCCCCCAGTAGGGAGCTGGGAGGGAGCAAAAACATGGGCCGTCTGGGGGTCCCCAAGGACCGGGTTGAGAAACACTGCTCTAGGGTCCAGAGGGCTGAGCATAGAGCCCCCAGGGCTGGACTGGGTTTCCCTGGAGGTGCCACCACTATGACATCCTTCTGCAAGAGGAGTCCAGCCAAGAAGGGGGATCACAAGACATTTGCATGCTCCTGCAGCAGTTTCAGATGGGGGTGCCAATGCAGAGGATGGGGCTGGATGAGTTTGGGTCATTATTCTATACTGAGCAGGGGAACCGTTACATATCAGTAGCAGTCAGTTATTTCACAAAGTGGTCGGAGGCCTTTGCCACCCCCAATCAGGGAGGGAGCACCATTCTGGGTCCCCTTTGGGGTCATGTTTACACGTTCCGGAATCCCTGAGGAGCTCCATGGTGACCAGGAGCAGAGTTTTGAGCCCCATATCTTCAGGGAGGTGAGGACACCAGCCCTATGCTGATGTACAGGGTGTAATTAGTTGTGTTAGACACTTGTTTTGTGGCTCGATTGCCTGTTCAGCGCTCGTAGACATGTAGCACATGTAATTAGTTATTTGGGGGATAAAGGCTTAAATACACTGACAGAGTGTTTAGCCTGGTGCGATTTCAGTACATCGGGCTTCATGTAGAGTGGATGGCAGAAAATCTTGTCAGAAAAAGACGTTAGTCATGAGTAAAGTCACTTGGATGCATAGAGCTTTGCTCTTATTGGATTATGGAGAATGGGTTGTAACTGCTGTGGATAAGTTACAGTATGTTGTTTGTAATATTAACTGTAGTCAAATAATACATATGCACTAAGCAAAAAATGAACAAATTCTTGTTTTCTTTTTGTATGTGGATCACCATAAGTATTCACAAACAGAGGTAATTCTCTACAACTCCCAGGAAGCCCCTAGCCATCATCTACACTGATCTGTTACTTACCACAGTACCAGGCACTCATGGGAAATTGAGGGTTAGAAACAAAAAAAATGTTTCATATATATTTTTTAATTTACAGGATTCAGCTATGTTGAAGGGGCCCTAATTCATGCTACACATGACATCACATCAGAAAGAAACAGAAACAGAATGATGACTCATGATCTTCAGAAATGCATCTAAAATAGGGAAAACATTACACAAATGCCTATATTGTTAATTTGGGCCAGTGCTCTGGAGTGGAACTCCTGGCTGTGAGGGATATTTATCTGAGAAATTTTGTTTTTAAAGATTCAAGCACAGTGTCTGAGTGTTTAACACAAAGGCAGATACTAACAGGCCTGGACATATTAAACCTTAATTTAAGGTTCTAATCTGCAGAATATGGTTCCCTTTCTAATGTAGACCTTTCCAAATCGAATTTATACCCATTTCAAGTTTACTGTTTAATAGTAATTATAGTACCCATGATGGCATGATATGTCCAAGGTACTCCTCTGCCTTATGTCCTGTGCTACCTGCGGTAAGTCCCTGCGTCAGGATAACTGGAGGGATGGATAGATGGATGGATGGATGGATGGATGGATGGACATGGATGGATAAATGGATGGATGTCTATGCTATCCTGTGTTGGAATGACATCCAGGATGTTCCCCTGCCTTGTGCCCTGTGTCTCCTGAAATATGGTCCCTGCAAGCCTGTGATAGAAGGACGATGCCTGTATAGTAATTGTTCTATTTTGTACTTCTAATTGGATTCATGTTGATAAGAAGATGCATAATTTCTCTTTGATTTTCATGATTATACGGTTTGCTTGTGCTGCTTGGATATGTCAGCATTTATTAGGGAGTCCTCCTTGCAGCTGGGCAGACATTAATATTAAAATGACTAAATCACTAAGTTGTTGATTATGATATATGAATAATATGAACAGTTGTTTCTGGTGATGTAACAACAATGCTGTTTGGAATTTTGCATGACTTAGAAGACTATAGGAAATGGGCAACCTTCTCTCCATGTCACTAAAACAAACGGCAACAGTGCTATTCTGGGAAACCAGAGGCTCATTCGAATTGAAAAGAAGGCACTTGACACTGCATATGTTTGGATGGGGTATGAGCCTGTTACTTCCATTCACAGCTGATATGTCTATCCACAGATGTTACATCTAAGTACACAGTTACATCCCTCCATAGCTGTTACATCTATTTACAGCTGTTATTTCTATACACAGCTGTCACATTCTTACTCAGCTGTTAGTACATCCATAGCTGTTACATCAATTATACAGTTACGTCCATCCATAGCTGTTACATCCATCCACAGCTGTTACTTCTATTCACAACTTGCATGTCCATCCAGAGTTGTTACTCCATTATCAGCTGCTATGTCCAGCTTCAGCATTTAAGTTGTGTATTTCATGGGCGTTGTTGGACCCGATCACTTGGGGCCACAGCCCTGAGTATTTTAGCCCGGATGCCAGTTATCTTCCTTTAAAAAAAAAAAAAGGTCAAGCCCCAGGTCAACTTCACTTAGCCCCTGATCTTTTCAATAGCTAGAAACTCCCCTGGTGTATTTCCATCTCTGTAATGAGGAACCATAATGTAAAGTAGAGTGACAGGTTTCTCATATCTGGACACCCAGCAAGCAGAACCGAAACGTTGTGTTCTTGAGCCATAGGAACAGAAATTCTTGATCCAGTGCCCTGGCTTCATGCTTGCAGCTACAGGAAGCTCTAGTGAATGAGCCTTTTATTTGAGCTTTCGAATGCCTGCTGTTGACTGGTTCGAATCATCATCTTCTGCAAATGCCCCCGCTCAAAAGAGTAAAAACTTCTTAGCACTTTTCCTGCAGTATCACTTTTATCAGCATCTTGGTTCTGTACAGGTACAAAAGTGTGTCTCCATTAGGAAATGTAGCCTATAAGGATTTACCTAACAACAGAAAGTTGGTTTGGGTGACTAACATTAATTTGTTACGTATCCGTACTTTGGCTGGTGCGAGTGGTTTACTTAG